GAACACTTAAAGAAGAGTGGACAAAACTCTAGGCTTTGTGAACAATGATATGGGCTTCACACACACACTAAAGCTGCTGGCAACTTGCCATTAGATTTTCCAGGCTCAATTACTGTGAGGAGTAAACATATGCTCCTTACAAGCAGCCCAATTTATGCTATTTTATTACAGTCACTCAGAATAACAAACTGAGGCTCTGAAAATATACAAAACTATAATGAAAAAAATGATGTTAACTATGGGAATTCAGATGTGGAAACAGCTGAGTCCCAGATACTCAAGTGTGTGGAATAATTATTTTCAGGTCTGTGTACCAGTTTTTATATCCATATGGATTGTTGAGACTGTTTCATGAGGATTTGTGAGCAATGAGCAATAAAAAGAAGTAAGAGGTGAAAATCTTAGGTGGCCAACACTTTCTGATCAGCACATTTTACTGTGACTGAGAAATGAAATCTAAATATTTCTGATCCCTCCATTATTTTTCTGGATAATGCTTTGAGGTATATAGGGTGATTAATAAAAATACCTGAAGTGTTGGAAAAATGACTCAGCAGGTAAGGACACTTGTCACCAAACCTAGCAATCTAAGATGAGTTCAAAGGTCCCATGTGATCAAAGAAAATGACCCAAAGAACTCTACCAGGGAACTCTTACAGCTGATTAACACCTTCAGCAAAGTGGCAGGCTACAAGATCAACTCAAGAAAATCAGTAGCCCTACTATATACAGATGAGAAAAGGGCTGAAAGAGAAATCAGAGAAACATCACCCTTTACAATTGCCACAAACAACATAAAATACCTTGGGGTAACCCTAACAAAACAAGTGAAAGACCTGTATCGTAAGAACTTTGAATCTTTAAAGAAAGAAATTAAAGAAGCCCTCAGAAAATGGAAAGATCTCCCATGCTCTTGGATAGGTAGGATCAATGTAGTAAAAATGGCAATCCTGCCAAAAGCAATCTACAGATTCAATGCAATCCCCATTAAAATCCCAGCACAATTCTTCACAGACCTTGAAAGAACAATAATCAATTTTGTATGGAAAAACAAAAGACCCAGGATAGCCAAAACAACCCTGTTCAACAAGGCAACGTCCAGAGGCATCACCAACCCTGACCTCAAGCTCTATTACAGAGCTATAGTCCTGAAAACAGCTTGGTATTGGCACAAAAATAGACAGGTAGACCAATGGAATCAAATTGAAAATCCGGGTATTAACCCACACACGTACGAACATCTGATCTTTGACAAAGAAGCTAAAAATATACAATGGAATAAAGAAAGCATCTTCAACAAATGGTGCTGGTATAATTGGAGACTGGCATGAAGAAGAATGCAGATAGATCCATGTTTATCGCCATGCACAAAACTTAAGTTCAAATGGATCAAAGACCTTAACATAAATCCAGCCACAAAGAACCTCTTAGAAGAGAAAGTGGGTGTTACCCTTGAACGAATTGGTACAGGAGACAGCTTCCTGAACATAACACCAGTAGCACAGACAGTGAGATCAACAATTAATAAATGGGACCTACTGAAACTGAGAAGCTTCTGTAAGGCAAAGGACACAGTCAGCAAGACAAAAAGGCAGCCCACAGAATGGGAAAAAATATTCACTAATCCCACATCTGACAGAGGGTTGATCTCCAAAATTTACAAAGAACTCAAGAAGCAAGTCTCCAAAACACCAAAGGACCCTATTAAAAAGTGGGCTGCAGAACTAAATAGAGAGTTTTCAATAGAGGAGTCTAAAATGGCTGAGAGGCACTTGAGAAAGTGCTCAACATCCTTAGCCATCCGGGAAATGCAAATCAAAACAACTCTGAGATACCATCTCACTCCTGTCAGAATGGCTAAAATCAAAAACACCAATGACAATTTATGCTGGAGAGGATGTGGTGAAAGGGGGACACTCCTCCATTGCTGGTGGGAGTGCCAACTGGTTCAGCCACTTTGGAAATCAGTATGGAGATTCCTCAGAAAAATGGGAATAAACCTACCACAAGACCCTAACTCCACTCTTAGGCATATATCCAAAAGATGCCCATTCATACAACAAAGATGTCTGTTCCACTATGTTCATAGAAGGTTTATTTGTAATAGCCAGAACTTGGAAGCAACCTAGATGTCCCTCACCCGAAGAGTGGATAGAGAAAATGTGGTACATTTACACAATGGAGTACTATTCAGCAGAAAAAAATAACGGAATCATGAGATTCGCAGGCAAATGGATGACACTAGAAGAAACCATCCTGAGTGAGGTAACCCAGTCACAAAAAGAGAAACATGGTATGTACTCTCTCATATATGGATTTTAGACATAGATCTGGGGAGTGCCAGCCTACAATCCTATGGTCAGAGAGTCTGGGAAACAGAAACTTCATTTAGTGGCTGATCGAAGAACAGGCAGACTCCCAAGGCTAAGTACTGAGCTGAACTCAAGAAAGCCAGTAACAGAGAGGGAGGACTGATGATCAAAGGGATTAAGACTGGGCTGGTTTAACCCCCCAGAAACAGCTGACCAGACAAAGGTTAACTCTTGAATGCCAGGCATCAGCCTGGGAATCCAGCATGGGACTGATCAAGACCCCCTGAATCTGGGTGTCAGTGAGGAGGCCTAGGTAATCTATTGAGCCTTGGGCAGCAGATCAGTACCCATCCCAAATATACACACGGACTTTGGACTCCCATAGAACAATGTGAGATGCACTCTCACCCTGAACTCTTGGGGAAGGGTCTAGGCCCTGCCCTATATGAAATGACAGACTATGGACACCCCCATGGAGGGCCTCACCCTCCCTGGGGGAATGAGGGGATAATGGGGGGGGCTGGGGGGCGGGCACGGGAGGAGGGGAGGGAATGGGAGAGGGACCTGGAACTGACTTGTGAAGCAACCTCGTTTCTTATCTAAATTTAAACTGGAAAATAAAATATAAAAATAATAAATAAAATAAATAAAATAAAAAAAGAATCAGTTCTCACAAATTGTACACTGATCTCCACACATACTCTATGGAACATGTTACCCACCCCCCAAGGGACACTAAAAAGAAAACATTAAAATCATTAAGATTACTGGTGGCATTTAATTTTATAATTACAAGCCAGATAGAGGTACATAAAACTTGTATCTACTCATTGACTTAAGTCCATACAGCTACGACACTTAGAATCAAGTAGATGAAAGAAGCATAAATGCACATTTACACTCACAATAAACCCGATTCCATTTAAGTTTTAGCATTTATGTACAGTTTGTTGGAGAATTGTGCCTTAGTTTAAAAGAGCTTATCCTTTCCTCTGATTCAAAACAGTAGCTCCTAGCCTGATCATTTCTATAGTTCACTAGCCTGAATTCTGACTTTAACTATTTTTAAATAGGCTTGAAAAATAGAGCCACTCACAAAAAGAAGGAAGGAAGGAAGGAATGAAGGAATGAAGGAAGGAACAAAGGAGGAAAGGAAAGAAGTTAAGAAGGAAGGAAGGAAGAGCATTTTGTTACAACGTACTTTAGACAAGCGAACATAGCATGTATGGGGCAGTGATAATATTAACTGGTACCTTCTTAAAGCAGGCAAGAATGTTGTATGGGGAAAGAATAAGTATGGACAAATGTGTGGTCCACTTCTAACATGCAGATAAACTGGTATTGTTAAGGTCTGCTTCTCTGATAAGTGCCAGAACCAATAAATTAAGTAAGAAAAATTTGTAATGTCTCTGTGATAGTTAATCTTGGTCATTGTCCTAGTTTGCTTCTCTGTTGCTGGACTACAGAATTCTGGCCAAAAGAGGAGGAGGAAAAAAGGGATGGTTTGGTTTAGAGGTTACAGTACACCATCCAGGAAAGCCAAGACAGGACTCAGGGCTAGTAGTTGGAGTAGGAATTGATGTGAAGGCTATGGAGGAGTGCTGTTTACCAGCTTGCATCCCTGGCTTGCTCGGGGTGCTTCCTTATACACCCCAGGACAAGCTGCCCAAGAGTAAGTCTGCTCACATTGGGATTGATTCTTCTACATCAATTAATAATTAAGAATGCAGGCTAATCTGATAAAAGCACAGCCCTTCAATTGAGGTTTTTTGTCCCAAAGTGACTATAGTTTGTATCAAGTTGACAAAACCGTACCAATATAGTTCTTAACATGACATACTCGGGAAAAAGGAACCTTAATTGAAGGATTGTCTCCATCAGATTTGTCTATTGGGTATTGTCTTGGCTACTAATTTGTATGGAAGGGCATAGTACATTGTTTTATACAGCAGGTAGGCCTGTGCTGTATAAAAATGTTTGCCGAACATTTACCAGCTGAAGAGAGAGCCAAGGACTAGCATTACTCCATGGTTTCTATTTCTTTCTCTTCCTTGAGTTCCTACCCTGATTTCCTTTGAGGACTGCCTGTAAGATTAAACAAACCTTTCCTCCCGCAAGTTGCAACAAAAAGCTAAGCAGAACCATGAAAAGTTTTAGAAAATGATGCACAGACAGATAATTCACATACTTACATTTTTATTTTTAAATTAATAAGTGTCTATGAGTCCACTAGTTTTGTACTATAATTGCAAGAATTTTTCTTGGGGTCTATTTTCATGTTGGAAGTTTGATTACTTCCCTTTCTCAGTCATGTTGCCATGAATCATTGTGACTTTTGTCTAAATCTTCCTCTGTAGCTCTTAATGCGTCAGGATGTAAAGACTTTTAAAACAATATGTGCACTGAATTTCATTAAAGTTTTTAAGCATCTGTGTTTTACAATCATCTCATCACATATAATTAGACAGTTATATTTTTAATGAATTCCCTTTTATCTATGACCCTAAAATACTTGACTTAGCTTGCTAAGAATGAGAAGATACTCATTTTTAAATTGTTTTAGTGGTTTGTTTATTTTGCATTTTATTTTTTATTAACTGATGGGCTAGTTGATTATTTAATTTTGTAATATCCTGCTGAATACACGCAGTTACTTAGAATTTTGGTCTTATCTCCAAAATGTTCCAGGGGAATGCATGGCAGCTCCGGAGAAGCTGACTCAACAAACAGGGTGCCCTTGACCAAGATGGTAGGCTCTTAAATACACATCTAGACCTCAACCCAAACATCTGTGACTCTTTTTATGAAACCAAGTCTGGGAGAACATTATTTTTCTCAGGAGAAGGGATCATTTATTCCTCAAGGTACAGTCAATATCTCTGTTCCTCTTCTGGGATTTCAAAGCTCAGTCCTTTTACCTGAAACTTCTAAGCCATCATATATTGTTCAGCTTTTTTCCTGACTATTTTGGATTCCTCCATTTATCCCCTTAATAAGAAATACCAGTGGAATTTTCCCGAAGTGTCTTACATGCATTCCCATCCTATTTGAAACACTTTGTATATTTGTATGAAAATTCAAATTTCATTCTTATGCAATGTTGATTTGTGTCATTGAGAAAATATAACTCTTGTACATGTGTCATTCATAAACCCAGTAACTATTGGTAGGGACACACATCAGATGATAGGATAAGTACTGGAAGTATGATTCATTTGGAGAATACATCCCTAGTATGTGGGAGGCCTAGAATTCCACTCCAAGAACGATTAAAAAATTAGTAGCCAAAGATGCCTTCATGTAACATAAAAGTTGAAGTTGGACCAAATGAAAGTTCACATCTATGTTCAGCTGGCTGGAGGCTTCTTAAAGGCCATATTGACTATGTTGAGTCTGACTAACACATTAGCAGAAATTAGCTATCTTCAACTACAAACATCCTTGCTCCATAGTTCTGGCAAGCAGCAGTTGAAATGTAAGGTTTGAATAGGGGCCACAATTCTAGAGAACAGAGACTTCCTCCTTGCCTCTCTCTTTCTATAAAGACTGTTAATCTTTGGCAACTTGACACCTGTGAAAATATTGAATGTCTGTTTCCCATCTCACATCCCCTTCTTTGTTGCCCTGTCCTCTGTTAATTTTAATCCACTCTGTTTACCTAGTAAAAGGGTTACCATTGAATTTCTGTGTGCTTGTTACTTTTCTTGATTCTATGACATATTATTTGGCAAAGCTAGGTTCATAAAAGAAGTGTTTATTTTAACCTACAGTTTGACGGGTTACAGCCTATATGATGGGGAAGACATTATGACAGAAGCAGGAGGTAGCTAATGTTTTGTCTGCACTCAGGAAGTTGAGAGAGATGAATACTCATGGTAAACTCATTTTCTCCCTCTTTTCTTTATATTCAGCACACACAGAGTGTGTCTTCTTTCCTCTGTGGAAATGCCCTCCTATACAAACTAAGAATAATGCAACTGAAGTGAAGCTAAATGCATACAAATTTTCAAAAAGTTTAACTATCAGATAATCCCATAAATATTGCATGAAATTGAATGCAGTTACTTTTACAGAGAAATTGTCTCAAAAATAAAAAATAAAAAAACAAAACAAAAACAACATACCCAGTCAACTGGGATATGATATGGATGTAAGTGTCAGGGGCCCATTCTTCAAGCCATTACAAAGGTCTTTTCCCATAAGTAACAACAAATCCCCTCTCACAGTTTAGAACCTTTCATGGGCATTGATTCTGTTTGCTCTAATGCAGGAACCATTCCCTGCCCTGGAGACTCCCTTCCAATTTTATTGTATCATTAGCTATGCCAGTCATACCTTTCTTCCTTTTCTTCATGCATCACATTATTACAGTCTTTATGACAGAAGAATTATTTTGTCTTTCCACCTAGAATGTTCTACATGTTGATTGATGTGCTACTAAAAATTAACTTATTGACTGTGACAGTTAACCTCAATTGTCAACTTCACAGGATCTAGAATCACCTCTGATATAAAAATCTGAGAGTGTCTTTGAGGGAGCTTCTACATTATTTTAACTGTGGTGGGAGAACTCCCCTAAATGTGAATGGCATGATATCGAGGATGGGGTCCTGGACTGAATCAAGATGAAAAAGCATTTATTTGTCTGCTTCCTAATTACAGACTCACTGTGATGAGCTACCTCAAGGACAACCAAAACAAATTATCCATCCAATTCTCTTATGCAGTATTTGGTCCAGCAATGAGAAAAATGAACACAGTTGCCTTGTAATTCTATACTATCACTTAACTACAACTACAACTTTCTCTTATTTTAATTCTATTTTACACTGAGTCTCACAAAGTTTCATCAGCAGGACTTGAATTTGTCATCCTCCTGCCTCAACCCTTAAATGGCTTGTATTATGACATTTTTCATGCCTGGATTATAAGCAATTTTATATAATTTACTACTTGTTTGGCATAAGCTCTATCTTACACTTCATAAGACTTAACAGATGATCTAAGTATCAAGCAAATACCAGCACAGAGTGTATAAAAAGATAAAAAAAAAACTACGGAGGTTGTATTTTTAGACAAGAAGAATGGAAATGCGCAGACTGTTGTGGGAGAATGACAAGACAAAGTTCAGGTCCCTGGACTGAGAAAGAAATCTGGAATCATCACTAGATCTAAAGTCACAAAGCAGGGAAATTGTTCACAAAGCTTAAGAAGGAATTCTGTAGGGTCTACGGAACTGTCAGCCAGCTCAGTTAGACAGCAATGGAAATAAATGCCTGTACTTTGCTCCTCTCCTCCAGTCTGAATGAGCCTGGGTTACTAAGTGTATTTTCCCTCTATTGGCTTCCTACCAGAAATGAGTGGTGTACGATCACTGGAAAGCAAGTATGGGACAGAACATAAAAGATAGTGGTACTCTAAGTTCAGTTCCCATTCCTAGACATTCCTTGTCATTCCTCCCTGTGTTCTTTTTTTTTCAGAGTATTCCTTGATGTCTGACATTATATGAGCTTATCTTTTTCCTAGCTGTGACTAATATGTAAGTTTCTTATAGTCAAGAAGTTCTCCACATATTCTTACTCTTTGAAAGTACAAGTTTTCATCCACTTTCTCCTATGGAATCACATTTTTAAAAAATGAAAAAAACAAAGCATCAATCTATTTCCGTTGCCTAGAATTGAACATAGTATATATGAGTTCATGTTTTTTTTTTTTTGCAATTTAAGCAAATAGAGCTATATTGGTTTTGTTCAATCATCATTATCCAGAACTCAATCATATATATGTGTGTGTGTGTGTGTGTAATGTATATATGTGTACATAGTGTATAATGCAAAGTTATATAAATATAAATACATATATATATAGAGAGAGAGTGGGGTAGGAAGATCAATTGATTATTTGAAGGTATTGAGGAATGCTATTATGCAGACTGGAGTCCAAATCCATCCTATCAGGAGAATTCCTCTGCCTTGGAGAGATTTATCTTTTGTCTTTGCCATGCTTGCTTTTCCTGAAATTCAGTATTTTTCTGTTTATGAGGAGTGTCTGGGATGACAATTCCTGTTACATCTATTTTAAAGATTATATTAAAATATATCATATTCAGTGTCCAGATTTTGATAGCTGTCCAGCACACTTTCTTTCATTTGAAATCTACCCGGGGAATGTCTTTTATTCTTTTATTTAAATGTGTGTAAGTATGCTAACCCATCTTTTTTTCACATTCACAGGAAAAAGCAAATCTGCCTTTCCAGTTATACAAATATAACATTCTCCTTTTTAAAACAGAAATGTGAGCTTCCAGTCCTTTCTGTCCCTGCTTCTATAAAATATTTGTAAGTATACACATAGGCACTTACTAACATGTGCATATAACTGAAAAAAATAACAAAAGTGTTTCCTCTCAAGCACCTGCAGTCTAGTTTGTGAGTATGAAAAGCTGCTCAATGGAAGGCATCCTATATATTTAAAAGCAAGAAGAAAACCTTCAATTCAATGTGGAAGTTCTATGGCACGTAGGCCAGAGAAATTTACAAGAAATCCATAACATTTTAACCAAATTCTAGAGAATTTATTGAGAGACAGTGACAGAGTGAACATTTATGATTAACACAATGAAAGCTGGGCAAGTCCCTAACAAGAAATGAGTCTCAGTCTTCTCATGGCATCTTTTCAAAGTACTACTTAGTCCTAACTTTTCCACAAATGCTTGGCCCAGAACACTTCTCTGGGATGACTTTTCAAAAGAGAGGTGGGAACTACATGCTCCTTGTGCTTCACTTGAAGAAGCACACTCTAGCCCTGTCAGTATTGTGCTCCTGACAGAAGATCACAGCCCAAGTTCAAAACTTAGATTAATCTCACCAGAGTGCAAACACACGGGAGTTAGGAGCCCATGCTGTACTAAGAGTCACTAACCTCCAGTTACTTAGAATGTGTATTGAGTGGTCAGTTGGTACATATCCCATTTCATAAGAAGCCAGTTTTTGAACATTTGTCATGTACTTGCAGCAGACATCCTCCAACATAAGATCTTCTTATGAATAAGGTAGTGTCACTCACTTTTCTTATCAGAGGCAGAAAATAAAGCTTCCCCTGATTATGTAAACTACACAACGTGTCTCAGTGACCTCTAAGTCTTTGATTTACTCATCAGAAATGGTACCAATTCTCCCAAACTCCTTTAAATATAGGTATATTACCCAGGAACTCACAGAAAGGAATTAACTTCTTCCCTGTTATTGCATTACTTTGTTTCCGGTTGAACTGAAACTCTGACCTGATACAGCAATTCTCAGGGGAGTTTTTGTTTTGTTTTGTTTTGTTTTTCAGAAGAGCCTTTTGCTTAGGAATTTATCAATATAATGACGTATTTGAAGCACACACAGAGTAATGTGCATTTACCTTATGCTACTGAAGAGTAGGCTTCCCACTCCCAGTTGGAAGCTTTAGCACTGTTGAATAACCTCCGGGTATTAGTGAGCATTGATTTAGATTTAGAAGCCAAGCAACACTAACAGTAATTGTTAAGAAGCCATAAAACAGTAGGTGAATTACAAAGGAGTAAATTAGTCACAACCTCAGTGTTCTTACAATTAAAATAAATTCACATCACTGAACGTCTAGAGACATACATTCAATATTGCCAGAGGCAGGAAGAGAGCAAAAGACAAAGAGTAGCAATCAGTGAAAGCTCTCCTGTGACTACATGAATAGTAATAAAATATAAAATAATAAATAAATAGGGGAACATAAATTCCAGACTAGTACTGTCTAGGGCCAGGCAAGTTTTATTATAATGTACTAATTTATAACCAACCGATCTTTCGAAGTAACACTTGAGGCAAATTAGGGTGCGGTGATATATGCAAAGAAAGATTAAAATCTCAGGAGCAAGAAATAAAAAAAAGCAAGTTCAAGGCAGTGTATTAAAAAGAGCTAAGGTCAGGCTTAGCATATTAAGAAACCGTAATGAAGAAAATTTAATTAGGAAATATCTTCGGTTTGTAGAAGTTTTCTATTCTAGTTGCCATTTCAAATTAACATGGACTTTTTCGCCTTAAGGAACAAACGTATTTTGTCATGATTTTGATGTTGGAGTACCACACTGGTTCCATCAAGGTATGGCCCATAGCCACTTCTTTCTGTGTTTTGAGATAAGGCAGAGAGACCACTGGTGTCATTTCTTCTTCTTGGAAGGCCACTGATGCTTCTCAATTAGAGTCACCCCCTTCCAACTCATTTCACTTTAGTCATATCCTGGAAAGCTCAATATCCACATACAGTCACATTGGAGGTATGCTATCAATTCTTTAATTTTTGGGGACACAGTTTAATTCATATTAATCATAATTGCATTTAACAAAAGTATGTCATTGTCTCATAGTCATCTGCTGCTTGAAAACTTGGGTCAGGCTCAGCTTCTTGAGGTCATCGTGGTTCTCTGTCCTCTGCCCTCCCACCTCTGCATTCTGAAACTGTGCAGGGAGTTTTCCTGACTCCCCTGCTTGCACCCCTGCATACCTGAGCTTAGTTCATCTGTTTTCCACTAGCTCCATTTAAAATAGACTGTGGGCTTCAATGACAGTGTCAGTATTCTAAATATTTGGTATCTATTCACCCCTCAGTCATCTCGTGATCAAATATGGATTAAGTTCTACTGGAAAAAGACTGCCATCAAATCTTTTGTGCATTACTATCCTAGTGATTTCATTTTAAGGACTAGAACACATGAATGCCAATCAACACAAACAGAATGACACATCAAACATTTTTGCACAAAACAGTAGAAGTCATTGAATTATTTATTCACTAAGATAAATTAAAATGGGTGATTACTTAAAGTAGTAGGGGATGACTTCTTTAATATAAAATTATCTTTTGAGTAAATCCTAAAGATGAGAAAAAAGGTACTATTGCAAAGAAGTAGAAACTGCTTACACTACATCCAGACATGAACAAAAGATGAGAAATTACAAAAGACCGGATTACTTAAGTTGGGACGTGCAAAGGACTGTATCTGCAGACAAAATCAGGGACCAATTCCTAAGCTGCCATTGGGTAGAATGTAGTACTAATAGAGTGTACTTAAATGTTAAAGGAATCATTGTTCAGAGAAGCAGTTGGAATGGTCAGCTATATGGTACACTAGTCAGGAGTGGAAGTCCAAATGATAATTCTAAAAAAAATGGATCCATACAATGAGAGACACTCTACAAATTCCAGTGGTTCCTTCGTCCCTACTGTCATCACACACCCAACCTGCTCATTCTTGTTCACACAATGTTAGAACTGTATTTTTCTCTCTAGGTATAATTTCTGAATGAAAAACTAAAGGTAGTTGTCATTTTTCCTAAAAGTAAATGCTTCCTAACACTGCAAACTGTGTGTAAAGAATTTGCTTGTTTGCTTCAATAACTAAGAAAGCAACAGACTGTAGTTTTATTTTCAAGGATTTGATGACATATACTTTCTTTGGACAAAATTGCTGCTCCAGTTAAGTATACAAATAAGTAACGATCAATAAAGACACAATAAATGGCATTTAAAATGAGGCTGTAATGCTGTGCTGAATTTGGAACGTAGTTAAACATCAAATCCCTACTTAGCATCCCAGGATTTGTGCCAATATCTTGTTTAACTAGTGTTCCTAGGAAATGTAAAATAAAGGTGTAATCCATCAGATGGTTTCCCACATACACGCAAATATGCTCACACAGCTTGATAGCACAGCATGTACCAGGCATATATGGCCGCTTTCCATTTAAATTATGCATACATTCAAATGGTCTATATATAGTCATCTATGTGTTTGTTCATGGTTCAATATTTATATAACTAATTCTCCTTCTAAAATTCCATATAAAAATTTAGGGATAGAGAGATGGACTGGTTGCAGTAGCTATATTTGAAGAAGCCTGGCATGGAGACATAACTTGTAATATCCCTAATGAGGAAACAAGTCAGGAACTATCCAGGTCTCACGGGTGAATCAGCCTGGCTTAACTGAATAGTTCAAGGCTAATGAGTGATCCTGTCTCCAAATACTGTAGAGAGTTCCCTAGGTTATCTTCTATCCTACACAAGAACATGCACATATATGCAGATGTATCTATACACATATAAGCAAAATAATTTAGATGTAGTCATAGTTATGTGACACCTTTATGAGGTAAACAATAGCTGATGTCATTTAATTTACCAATTAAGCTGTAAATGAAGACACACTGACCTGATGCACGTTGTATTTGCTCTTTTCCTTGATACCAAATAATTCTGTTGGCATATAAAACAAATAATGAGATTTCCAGACATTTCTTTCAGTGTAAATAAAAGATTAGTTTTTCCAAATTTCCATCTACAAAGTCTGTATGATAGACAGTTTTACTAGCATTGCTGTAATTTTCTAGGATCAACAATATTAGCAGCATTTTTTTAAAATCTAATTTTGTCCCAGCTTGACACAGACTGAGTTAAGTATCCAATGGTGTTGATTCATTCTAAAATAAACATGTTTCTTGGGGACATATA